CAACTGGGAATCAAACCCACAGCCTAGGTATGTGCCCAGACCAGGAATCGAACTCACAACCTTTTTGTGCAGGGGATGACGCTCCAACCACATGAACCACTTAGCCAGAGCTGAAGTGGATCCTTTTTGCAATAAGGACATTACTAATACAACTGGCAACATCTGGAGGAGGGGTATCTGAGAATTATGTGACAGTGATGCATCAATGTTAACCTCCAGATTTTGATGTTGGACAATATCCCTGCTTGTAGAAGATTAACCCTAAGGTATTCAGGGATGATGAAGCCATCAGGTCAACAACTTATTCTCAAGTGATTCAAGGAAAAAAAATAATTCTTTGTATTGTACTTGGAACTTTTCTATAAATTTGTCGAGATTCTTTTCAGAAATTTTATTAGTAAGTCTCTGGTCGGGGCACATATAAGAATCAAACAATGAATGTGTAAATAAGTAGAACAACAAATCAATGCCTCCCCGCCCCTCTCTCTCTCTCTCAATTCAATACCTTTTAGAGGGGGGTGAAGGTGTGGAAGGGAGGGGACTGCAGATCATTAAGAAGACTTGGAGAGAATGGTCTGTCTACTGGTAACCATTCTCACTTTAACTTAATGCAAGTAACTCATCTCTGAATCGCTGAGCACCAACATTGGAGTTCTTGCCACCAAAAATAGGTTTCCTGTATATTTCTGCCTCATCAACTTCCAATTTCTTTTCAACACTTACCTGAATAACATTTTCTCCAGTGCCTATACTTCAAATTCTCTCTCAACCTCAACTCTATTCTGGCAATGCTGTGTGACCTTCATGCTTCCCTCTTACATTAAAGATGGAGAACTTCACCTTTAGAAAGGTTCCCAAAGAGATGTCTATCTTGAAGAAGATGTTATTAGTGACCTTCCCTTCAGGACTAACATTCACTAACACTGCCATTAAGTTCATGTTTTAAGAGGTCTTTTTAAAAAATTTTTTTAAAGGAAAAGGAAGGGTGGGGTAGACAAACATCAACTTGTTGCTCCACTCATTTATGCATTCACTGGTTGATTCCTGTATGTACCTTGAGCGGGGATTGAACCCACAACCTTGGCGTACAAGAATGACACTCTAGTCAACTGATATCCAGCCAGGGCTTAAGAGTTTTTCAAGGCTCTTCCTTCTAAACACACATACTGAACCTAAACAAGTACCATGCAAACTCCCCTATGCTATAAAGGAAAACCTAGTTATATATTCTGGAGTGTAACAGAGTTTTTGACACTCTTTTCCTCTCACTATACGAAAAGTTTCAAATAACACCACAAGCTTTATCTCCAGACTTCCTGAAAAGTACCAAGTATAACTAGCTTCTCCACTTTCACACCAAAAGCAGCTGGCAAGCAGGGTCTCAGTTATTCAACAGCAGAAAGGTTTTCAGTAACAATCAATGAAGAGCTTTGAAGTAGTGTAAGGATGATGTTTATCACTTATCCTTTCTTCTTCTTTCCTATTTAGTGTGATCACGAAGTTTTGGAGGAGGACCAAGTATATTATGGCCCTCCTCCAAGCAGCCATAAACTTTCTTCCCTTACATTAAATAAATACTAACAAAAACAGGCTCTTAAAATGTACTGCCATACATGAATGTATCTCAGGAGACTGATCAGTCCGTGGGAAGAAAGCACTAGCTACAAAGGACACTAAGCTGAGCAACAGCATCTGAAATGAAAGCAGCAGCAAGTCACCTGGAGATCTAAGAACACTCCTAGGAGAAATCAACTTCATTCTTTTGCAGGTTAAGGAAGTAAGATTTTGCTGACAAGACCATTTACTTTTCAGGTAACCATCAAACAACACTGAAGGGGATGTCTAAAGGGAAATGGCAAGGCATTTAGTCATCTTTAGAGGAAGACAAACTACTTATTTTCTTCCTTTCCCTTTTTTTCCACCTAGCAGGGACTGTTTCTAAATATATTATGTAACAGTTTATTAAAACAACATACTAAAATTCCCATAGAGCTAAAGAAACATGTTCTCAGTGTTCTACTAATTTTAAAAGTACCCCAAAACAAACGTTTACTTTTGCACTTTGAAGAGAATTTCAAATGCAATAAGACTAAACTGCACCTTGCCAATTACCACAGCCTTACAATCAGCACATGTTGTTATGAATGACACTTAATTCCATCTCAGTCTATTCTATGATAAGCAGCAATGAACTCAAGGGTATGATTATGATTTCAGAATATGAAAAGACACTACGGCAATTCCTAATAGATTCTTTTAAAATATGATCCTACACAGCTCTTCAAAAAAGAACAGTATGTTTTAATTGTAAAATGAATTTTTACATTTCTTTGACCTCCTGTCTGAAAGAGGTATGGAAAAAGAAACTGCAGGCCCTGGCCGAGTAGCTCAGCTGGTTAGAGAGCACTGTCCCAATACACCAAAGTGGTGGGTTTCATCCCCAGTTGGGACACATATAAGAATCAACCAATAAATACATAAATAAGTGAAACATCAAATCGATGTTTCTCTCTTCCCCCTCCAAAATTGTAAGTAAAAATAAAATTAAAAAAAAAAAAGAAAGAAATTAACTGCAGTGTAGGGAGGGCATGAAATGTGTCACTCTGGTTATTAAAACCCATCAAGTTCATACTTCGGTGTATAACTGCGGCCAAAAAACTGACTTGAAAGTAATTATCACCACTAGCTGCAATAAAAGTTAATTGGACATAATTGAACTAACGCCCTAATTGGAGGGAAGCTGCAACTGGCTAAGAGTACACTCCTGCTCCTTCAATCTACAAATGAAACTGCTAATGATAATTTGTGGACAAAACAGAAATTGCTCTCATGGTTTCCCCACTGCAAATCACTTAGTAATTCCAGCTAATGCCCAGGATGTTGGGCTAGGAGAAAAATCACTAAGCAATGCTTCCCTTTGATAAAGATGAATTTTAACAATAACCAAGTTCATTAAGGCTGTGGGTTGCTGAGAATTGTTCATTTCCCCTGGACACCCTAAGTAAGGCAATGTGGCCTGATCTTCATACCCTAGTACTATGCAGTAGATGTGCCCTGTGCCACTAACCTGTAGTTGTAAGAAGATATTATGCAAGCCAGGAGCTACGATTACACTAATAATTTATTCTCTTCTAAGAGAATCCTGGTTAATCTCATTTTTAGACAGCAGGCAAATGGCACTGCTGATCTGCTTCAAAAGCAAAGATTAAATCACTTCTGAATCAGTTTTGGAGTTAACAGGTTCCTGCTGCCTAACTCATTTGCCTTTAATTCTGGACAAGAACTGTGTGCCCTTTCCCTTGGAATTTAGTATCAGACTTTCTGCTCCTCAACTGTGTCTACAGCCCAAACAGCTAAGACTCCTAAGCATATAAAAAGTTTTAGGAAACCCTACATCTTGTGGTCTTTATATCAGTAGTGAACTATAAAGGGGGTGGGAAGCAGGTACCCTGCTGAAGTGACAGAAGGTAAAAGAGAAAAAAGCAGGTACAAAGTGCTATCTCTGCTCATTTTTTATCAGGGGATTTGAGCTTTTTTCTGGCAAGGAGATGGCTAGAAAATGATTTTTAAAGGTTTTATTTATCTTTTAGAGGGAAGAGAAGGGAAGGAAAGAGGTTGCCTCTTGCATGCTCCCAACTGGCCACCTGGCCTAACAACCCAGGAATGTGCTCTGACCAGGAATCAAAACAGTGACCTTTCGGTTCTCAGGCTGGCACTCAGGCCACTGAATCACACCATCAAGGATGAGATGGCTAGAAATTAATGCAATCAGAACCTTTCCCAAAGAGGCAGCTGGACCACCTACCCATTTGGTACACTTTTCAGTAACAGTTATTTTGCAAGGTTGCAGTTTACTTCTTCTAGTCGTTAAAATACAACACTTTCTGATGTGGAATGTGGAAAAGCCTAGGAATAGCTGAGTCAGGATGTAGAAACTAGAGAGGGACCTAGAAACTGTAATGTGGATAGTAAAGGAAAACGAGAGTTTAATTTGAAAAAGAGAACACTTAGTACGGACATCATTCACTCACTCCCTCATTCACTGATACCTGTGATGCAACAGGCACTGTGGTAGCACCATGAATTGAAAATACAACCGTGACAGAGAAAATCCCTAGTGAGCAATGCTATTATTGTGGTGATCACTTTGCTACACATACAAATATCAAGTCAATATGTTGTATACCTGAAACTAATATTATGTTGTATGTCAACTATACCTCAATTTTTTAAAAAGAAAAGGAAAAAGTGAGTAAAATCGTTAAAAAACCCAAATAATAAAACAAATACTTCCAGGGTACAGTGCGAAGGAAGGGAGAACAACACGGGTCACTGAAGGCCAAGCAAGAATTCAACAGATTGAGAGGAATGGGCCACTCTGGGCAGAGAAAACTAGCATAATGAAAGACATGAAGTTATGAAGCTAAATGGCATGTTTGGGGAACCAGAAGTGGTCTGTTGCAGAGAAGTAGGGCATTGGTGCTAAACCTAGAGGAGAGCCTGATGCTCCAAGTTATAAAGAGCCTTTTATTTCATACGAGAGGGAGAGGGTACCAAACCCTTTAGCCAGCACTCAATCCACTGAGCCACACCAGCCTAGGCAAATAAAATACATTTTTTAAATGATGGAGAAGAATTTATTTTCCACCTCAATTAATTCAATTAAAATTTTATCTTTAATAGCTAAAAAGTTGGACTAGATGACTTCTAAATCCAACTTCCAGATTCCATGATTTTAAGTTTTTTTTCTTTAACTCTTCACCCAAGGACATGTTTTTCATTGCTTTTAGAGAGAGAGGAAGGGAGAGAGAGAAATATCAATGTGAGAGACAAACACCGACTGGATGCCTCCATATCCCCCCGACCAGGAGCAGAAACTGCAACCCTTCAGTTTACCAGACAACACTCCAACCTACTGAGCCACACTGACCAGGGCCAGATTCCGTAATTCTAAATCACTAACAAAGGTGGTTTTGTAAAGTCATTAATAAATTACTTACATTTGTAGAGACCTTTACAATTTTCAAAGTGTTTTCACACTGATTCTGTCACTTGATTTTTTCAAATGCCCTATGAGAGACAGTCAGGGCAGGTATCATTAGTCTCATTTTCACAGATAAAGAAACTAGTAAAAGCTAGTAAGTGCACAGACTACAGCCAGGTTTTCTGACCCCTGGCTCTGTGCTTTCTCCTCACACGATTGCCTCCAGAATGTTGCTAGAACTGAAAATCCATTCTGAGAAACCATCCCCCTTATTCACCTGTTCCAGTGTTTATTCTTAAAACCAGGAAATTCTTCTGCATGTCTCATATCCATTGTTCAGGAACTTCAGCCTATTCTTTTGTCCCCTTCAAGGTGAATAAAAGCTAGTCATCTATCTTTATATAATGTTCCTTCATATCTGCATACTATAAAATGCCTGTCATTTCTTTACAATCAACTAATCAATTGCAATTTCTCAATTTTTTTCACATAAATATTCTTTCCCTTAAACTAGGTTAAGTAATCTGATCCTAAATATAGTACTAGCTCCAGGAAGACAATAATCTCTAATGCACTTTCTATGCATGCCAATCCTAATACTAAGCTATATATTAAAGAATACCTCTCCGATTAATTCATATCAATATTTACTGAGCACCTGCTATGTAGCAAGACATTGCTCCAGGAGCTAGGAACTCAGCAATGAACAAAACAGGCAAAAACTCAGTCTTCACTGTGCTTCCATTTTTACACGGGATAGAGTGGGCAAGTCAGATAAACTTAACAAACAAGTACACTACACACACTCTTAGACTGTGATAAATGCTGTGAAAAAATAAAAACAGTGTAAGAAGATGAGGAGTACTGAATGGGGTAGTGACTTTTAAGATTTTATTTATTCATTTTTAGAGAGAGGGGAAGAGAAGGAGAAAGAGAGGGAGAGAAACATCAATGTGTGGCTGCCTCTTAAGCATCCCCTACTGGGGACCTGGCCCAAAACCCAGGCATGTGCCCTGACTGGGAATCAAACTGGCAACCCTTTGGTTGGCCCACACTCAATCCACTGAGCTACACTAGTCAGGGCTAAGGTAGTGACTTTTCAATAGTATAGTCAGAGTGATCCTCACAGAGCAACTATAGTTTCTCCATGGTTTATCTGCTAGTTTCTGTGTAAGGGAGCAGTACAGCTTTTAATTATATAACAGCTTTTTAAAAAGAAAACTATAACTAATATAGGTTTTTTCCCCTCTCATTTTAACTCTTAAGCACATGCACATTTAATAAAATGCAATTTGTCAGCGTGTTCTGAAGAGTGGAAACCTTGTTTCTGTAATGTAGAAATACTCTTCAAGCAATAATACAACAAAGTAATGTAAGCCTGCACGCAACCAAAGACTGCTGTTATATTCAACTGTGACTTTGAAAAATACTAGCATTTCCCTGGTTGAGCAATGCCACTTCCCTAACTAGTTGTAGGGAGCCAAGAGATGAACAGATGTAGACAGACGGCAGGGATGGAGAGAGATGGTAGAGAATTTTAGAAAGCTACAAAGTTGATGTGCAGGCTGAAGTGGTACCAGCCTCTCACTTCTAGATGCACTAAGCAACAATCTCCCCAAAACATATTATGAATGATTAGGACAATACATTTCACTTGGGAAGTGTGTTCAGCATGGAGAAGAGGCATAAATTAAAATAAAGCTTGCTAAAAAAGCAACCTGCTCATACTTACTTATTTTCAGTAACAAGGAAATATTTATTAGTACTTCATTACTCTTGTTCATATGCTTCTCCAGAGTGTCACCTTCACAGTAACAAGAGTGTTAGTATAAAGGTAATGTGTGACATGGACCCAACACCCGCCATCATATGTGTAAACAGAATCCTAGGAAACACTTGTTGCTGGGAATTACAGACGGTGTGGCGTTGTTTCTAAATGCACACGCTCCCAGGTTTCTTTGGGCACTACCCAAGAGATCTGATTTTGTTATTAGTTGTACTCTTACTGTGTCCCTAGAAAAGATAACCACTCGACTCTTGAATTTTTTAAATCCTCCCCTGGGGATATGTTTATTGATTTTAGAGAAAGAAAGAGAGAGAAACACTGATGTAAGAGAAACACAGATTGGTTGCCTCCCTGACCATGGATGGGGTCAAAACCACAACCTAGGTATTTGCCCTGACTGGGAATCAAACCCACAACTCTTTGGTATACAGGATGACGCTCCAAACAACCCAGCCACGAATTTTTAAGTCTGTTTTTTCATTGTTCCAATCTAATTTTGCCTCTATGGAATAGGCAAAGGACTTTTCTTAAAAGAAAAGGTTCCTTTGGTCTCTCTGGGAAAATGTGCTAACACAATATCATACTCCAACTGCACTGCCATACCTGACAGGGATTTAATAAAGCCTAAGTACTAAAATCCTTTGTAAGGCCCTCTAGTGAATGTACCATAACATCTGGCAGAACAGGTTAAAACCAAGATATGGATTCTTCATTAACCCATTGGTCCCACTTTCTGTTGAATGAAAGAGGTCTAGAAGAATAAGATAAGCAAAAGCCAAACAGTACCTTCACAGCTAAAAAGTTAATGTCTTCACAATAGTAAAACCACTTTCAGCTGAATAGTTGGGTAATACAGAGACCCATTCACCAACCCAGGAAATGTGACTTTTCCATTCTTATACTGTGACCTGGGATAAGCTGCCTTTTAACTTCTATAGTCTTGATATCCCTTTCATTTCAAAATAGACTTAAGTCCTATCTAATAAGTAATGAAATGCCAATGGTAGAAGCACTTCAGCTTCTCCTCTGAAACAACAGGGATGCTGGCTAGATCATTTCATTCCTCTAAGTAGCATAAAAACCTGACTTTTACTTAGCAACTGATCCTCAAAATCACTTTGCTGGTCAACTGGTCATAGAAACCTTGCCTTTTAAAACTGCTACACTAGGACCTGGCTGGTATAGCTCAGTGGATTAAGCACAAACCAACACTTACCAAAGCACTGCCAGTTCAATCCCCAGTCAGGGCACATGCCTGGGTTGCAGGCCAGGTCCTTGGTGAGGGGCTGCCGAGAGGCAACCACACACTGATGTTTCTCTCCCCCTCTTCCTCCCTCCCTTATCCTCTCTCTAAAAATAAATATAAATATATAAATACATAATCTTTTTAAAAAACTGCTATAATAGAGACATATGAACATCACTAGCCATCAGAGAAGTGCAAATTAAAACCACAATGAGATACCATTTCACACCAGTCAAATGACCATCGTAAAGGCGAGGCTGTGGAGAAAAGGGAACCCTAGTGCACTATTGGTAGGAATGCAGACTGGTGCATCCACTGTGGAAAACAGTATGGAATTTCCTCAGAAAACTAAAAATGAAACTGCTTTTTTAAAACAAAGATTTTATTTATTTATTTTTAGAGAGAGGGGAAGGGAAAAAGAAAGAGAGAGAAACATCAATTGTGTGGTTGCCTTTCACGCATCCCCCTTCTGGGGACCTGGTCTGCAACCCAGGCATGTGCCCTGACTGGTAATCAAACCATCGACGCGACCCTTTGCTTCACAGTCCACTGCTCAATCCACTGAGCCACATCACCCAGGACTGGGAAGTGCCTTTTGACCCAGTGATTCCACTGCTACGATTATACCCTAAGAATCCTAAAATAGCAATTCAAAAGAAAGTAGTCATCCCAATGTCCATAGCAGTGCTATTTACAATAGTCAAGTAACAGCCAAGTGCCCATCAGTAAATGAGTGGATCAAAAAACCGGTATATTTACACAATATAACACTATGCAGAAGAAAGAAGGAACTCCTATCCTTCTGACAGCTTGGGTAGAACTGGAGAGTTATTATGCTACATGAAATAACTGGTAAAAGACAAATACCATATGATTTTACTTGTAAGTGGAACCAAATTCAACAAAACAACCCTGGCTGGTGTGGCTTAGTGGACTGAATACCATCCTGTGAACCAACAGGTCACCAGTTCAATTCCCAGTCAGGGAACATGCCTGGTTTGCGGGACAGGTCACCAGTTGGGGGCGTGCAACAGGCAACCAATCAATATATCTCTCACATATCAATGTCTCTCCCTCTCTTTCTCACTTCCCTCTCTCTAAATAAATAAATAAATAAATAAATAAATAAATAAATAAATAAAACCTTAAAAATGAAACAAAAACAAGGGAGCAAAATAGAACCAGAGACACGGAGAGAAAGAACCAACTGACATTAACCAGAGGGGAGGGCAGAGGGGGATAATGAGGGAACAAAGGGGAAGAGTCAAGTCCAGGAACATGTATAAAGGACCCATGGACAAAGACAACAGGGTGGGGGGAACTGGCACAGAGGGGAAGGACTGAATGTGGGAGGTGGGGAGTGGGTAGAGGAGGGGGGAGAAACAGGGACAACTGTAATTGAACGACAATAAAAAAAGTTTAAATAAAATTGTTGTAATATTCAGCAGCTCTTCCACTAAAAAGAGAAAAGCACATTAACATTTTCCCACTAAACAGCACTTAAAAGAAATCCTCAGCTTTGAATTTATAACTTGCAGTACTTCTTTAATCTCAATCTGACTTCTAAACAGATGTCATTTTGGCCAACAGCCCTCATCATTAGAGTACATACAGCCCAGCGTTAGAAGAGGGGTTTGCTTGGGTAACAGTTCTTTGGCTTGGCACAGCTCACCCACATGATGAATGATTTGCATATACTGTGGAGCCAGAAGATGCCGACAAAGAAGATATACCAGTCTCAAGAACTAGTTTATTTATGATTTCCTTGGGAGATCTCAATTATCCACAGGAACCCAGTATAATTAGGTAACAAACATCGAGGAATAAAATATTAAATAAAACTGTCTCGAGGATACTAAACTGAACTTTTCTAGATCTAACACTGAGTTATAATACTTTTGATTATTAAGAAACTAATACAACCCAATCACATGGCTATCTTGCTTACTAATCTCTGGAATGACCAAAGAAAACATTTCTAATCAGTTTGTTCAGCTAGAAAATCCCAGTTAAAAAGTAGAGGAAGTTAACCCTGGTTGGTGTAGCTCAGCGGA